GCGAGGACGGCTCCTGCCCAGGGGGCGCCCCGACTCTGTGCCGCCAGGCCAGGCACCAAGCTCAGGCTGGGTCCCCAGGAGCCGGGTCTGCGCTGCCTCGCCCTCTGCCCCCGGGGAGGGACCCAGGGCACGGCAGCCCAGCAGCCAGGACGGGAGAGGTGGACTGGCTGGGCTCCAGCCCCTCTCCCCGGCCCCTCAGCCGTTCCTGTCCTTTTAGACACCCCCCACCCCCAGCTCTTAGTGGTTTCTGAACAGACACTGAGCCAGGACCTTCCGTTTCCCCCCGCCCCCGTACCCCCCTCCCCGCACACGCATCCCCGCTCTGAGGCAGGCCGGGCGAGCTCCGGTTTGGAGAGAGGACACTGAGGTTCACGGCAAAGGGCAGGCCAGGCCCCGGGGCAGGAATGGCCGGAGCCGTCCGCCTGCTGCGGGCGCCCTGGCTGCGAGCTCAGCTGACAGTGCCGGGAGCTGCGGGCAGCGCGTGAGCTGCGTTCTCAGCCGGCGCTGACGACAGCACAGGGCGCTGTCAGGCGCCCAGCCGCAGGCACACGGACGCACAGACAGGGCACGGGGCAAGGCCAGGCGGCATGCCGGCTGGGAGCCAAGGAAAGGCCTGACCCCCTCCCCCGTGCCCGCCTCCCGGTGCAGGGCTCGGCGGCCCCCCAGGCGGAGCCGCGGGCCGCTGTGCTCCGGGGTGGCCGGGGCCATGGACAGGCTCAGACTGGGAGGACGCACACGCAGCAGCTGGCTGGCCGGCCAGGGCCGGGCAGACAGACAGACAGACAGCTGTCCTGGAGGCCGGAGCCCGTGCATTCCAGGCGTTTCAGCACCTCCATAAACTGGCCTCTCCGGCCAGGGAGGGGGAGACGTCCCCGCTGCCCACCCCCACGCTGTGGCTGCCCCCCAAGGGCCCCGACCCGGGTCCCAGTGTGACTGACGCCACCCGCTGGGCAGAGCAGGGGTGCCGGGGCCTGGGACGGGGCGGGGCGGGCGGGGGGGACGCCAGGGCTCGGTCTGAGGCCGGTTCCGTGGGTGCGGGGCGGGGAGCGGTCCTCTGTGACACGGGGACCCAGCGGCCCGGCCCAGCCTGCGCTGACAGGCCCAGCGGGACAAGCAGGAAGGGGCCTGGCGCGGCTGTGCGGCCGCTGAATCAGGGTCTGTGTGTGTGAGTGGTTTTCAAGACCCGGGGCCCGGCGGGAGCGCCCGCGGCCAGGGAGGCTGAGGGCCACACCCAGGGGTGGCGCCCATGGGGTCCGGGCCGAGGGCGGGCGTGGCTGTGGTCTGGTCTGGCCAAAGCGGGAGCAGGTGTGGGGGGCGGCAGCGGGCAGCGAGGCCTCGGAGGGCGGGAGCCGGGATGCCAGCACACGTCCCCCGGTGCAGAGCGGCCCAGGTTGGTGGCTCCCCGCCCAGCCTGGCCCCGGCCCCCCACCCCGTGTCTCCAGGGGCAGTAACACCCCAAAGCGCCGTCGGCCTCTCCCCTCCTCCCGCCCCCCGCCAGGCCCCGCCCTGCTCCCGAGAGCACCGAGGGTCATTTCAGTCCTGCTCCGCGCTGGACGCATGCCCCGCCAGCTGGGCTGTCTCCAGGCGGCCAGGTCTCAGACGGAGCCACAGGCCGCCCACCTCCCTGCAGGCCGCACCGGCTCCCAGCTCCGGCGGCGGCTCGCCCAGACCGGCCACCTGTCTCCCCGCCCCCTCCTCCCTAATCACCCCAACACATGTGCCCCGGCCTCCTCCCCCGGCACACACACAGCTCACAGCCTGGAGTGAGTGTACAGCTGCATGCACACACTCACACACACACACACACACACACACACTCACAGTCACACACACACACACATACACAGACACACTCACACACACACTCACACACACACAGACACAGACACTCACACTCACACACTTACACACACACATACACAGACACACTCACACACACACTCACACACACACACACATACACAGACACACACACACACTCACACACACACTCACAGTCACACACTTACACACACACACATACACAGACACACACACACACACTCACACACACACACTCACACACACACACTCACACTCACACATACACAGACACACTCACACACACACACCCCCACACAGACTCACACACACACACACATACACAGACACACACACACACTCACACACACACAGACACAGACACTCACACTCACACACTTACACACACACATACACAGACACACTCACACACACACTCACACACACACATACACAGACACACACACACTCACACACACACTCACACTCACACACTTACACACACACATACACAGACACACTCACACACACACTCACACACACACACACTCACACTCACACACTCACACATACACAGACACACTCACACACACACTTACACACACATAGACAGACACACTCACACACACACTTACACACACACAGACACACTCACACACACACTTACACATACACTCACACACACACTCACACACACACACTCACACACACACTTACACACACATACACAGACACACTCACACACACACTTATACACTCACACACTCACACACAGACACACACACTTATACACTCACACACACACAGACACACACACACTTATACACTCACACACACACAGACACACACACACTTATACACTCACACACACACAGACACACACACTTATACACTCACAGACACACACACTCACACACAGACACACACACTCACACACAGACACACACACTCACACACAGACACAGCTCACAGCCTGGAGTGAGTGTACAGCTGCATGCACACACTCACACACACTCACACACACACACACTCACACATGTAACCTGTGAGAAGTTCCTGCCTCAGAGAGGTACACAGAGAGCTCTGCTTTCCCACATCGAGTCCCATGTCCTCCCCACACGTTGTCCGCTCCTCCTGGGGCTGGATGGGGGCTGGGAGGGGGCTGGGAGGGGGCTGGGTGGGGGCTGGGAGGGGGCTGGGTGGGGGCTGGGTGGGGGCTGGGAGGGGGCTGGGAGGGGGCTGGGTGGGGGCTGGGTGGGGGCTGGGAGGGGGCTGGGTGGGGGCTGGGTGAGGGCTGGGTGAGGGCTGGGAGGGGGCTGGGTGGGGGCTGGGAGGGGGCTGGGTGGGGGCTGGGAGGGGGCTGGGAGGGGGCTGGGAGGGGGCTGGGAGGGGGCTGGGTGGGGGCTGGGAGGGGGCTGGGAGGGGGCTGGGTGGGGGCTGGGAGGGGGCTGGGAGGGGGCTGGGAGGGGGCTGGGAGGGGGCTGGGTGGGGGCTGGGAGGGGGCTGGGAGGGGGCTGGGAGGGGGCTGGGAGGGGGCTGGGTGAGGGCTGGGAGGGGGCTGGGTGGGGGCTGGGAGGGGGCTGGGTGGGGGCTGGGAGGGGGCTGGGTGGGGGCTGGGAGGGGGCTGGGAGGGGGCGGGGGTGGGGGCTGGGTGAGGGCTGGGAGGGGGCTGGGAGGGGGCTGGGTGGGGGCTGGGAGGGGGCTGGGTGGGGGCTGGGTGGGGGCTGGGTGGGGGCTGGGAGGGGGCGGGGGGGGGCGGGGGCAGGCAGGGCTGAGGGGGAGGGGGACAGGGTCAAGCAGGGTGCCCGTGCAGCCACAGGGGTCGCCTGCCTCCCTCAGCCACACACAGAGGCTCTGGTTTCCCCATTTGGAGCGGAGCTGGGCTCCAGGCTGCCAGGCAGCAGTGGGAACATGTGTGTGTGTGTGTGTGTGTGTGTGTGTGTGTGTGTCCGCTTTCATTCATTCTCCTCAGTCATTCCTTAGCAGCCAGGGGCGGGCAGGGAGCTGGCCGGGCGCCTGTGGGATCACAACCCAGCACCCCTCACACAGCGCCACGGCATGGTGGGTGCTGGGTGGTGCTGGGTGGTAGTGAGGGGGCCCTGGGCTGGCCCCATGGGCTGGGAGCCTTCCCACAGGCTGTTCTGGCTGGGAGCAGGGGCGGGGTCTGGGGGGGTCGGGGGAGCCGGGGAGCAGAGAGGCTGGGTGGTCCCCTGAGGGTGAGGACACCACAGGGACACACACACACTCACACACACACACATTCACACACTCATACACACGTGCACACACACACACACACACACACTCACACACACACAGTCACACACTCACACACAGACACACACAGTCACACACACACACACATTCACACACTCATACACACGTGCACACACACACACACGTGCGCGCACACACACACGCACACACACATACACATACACACACGTGTGGCCGGTCCGCCCAGCAGGCTCTCCCGGCCCCGCCACAGGCAGGAGTTGCCGACACAGTGTGGGCGACCTCAGGGGCTCCTGGGAGAGACCCGGTGTCGCACAGGGCAGGCTCCCGCTGAGGAAGGCCTAGCGCCGGCCACTGCGAGGACACGGGACTCCTCAGCTGTGTGTGATTATCCACCGTCACTCACCGCACGCTTGGAGCCAGTGCCTCCGTCCCATGACACCGTCACGTCACCACATCGTGCAGAGGAAGACACAGGGTGAGAGCGTCCTTTTGTTAACAAACATTTTTATTGGTTTTTTACAGAGAGGAAAGGAGAGGGATGGAGAGTTAGAAACATCGATGAGAGAGAATCATTGATCAGCTGCCGCCTTCACACCCCCTACCAGGGATGTGCCCCCAACCAAGGTACACACCCTTGACCGGAGTCGAACCTGGGCCCTTTCAGTTCACAGACCCACGCTCTATCCACTGAGCCAAACCGGTTTCGGCCAGAGCGGATCTTTTGCCGACAACAGATAAATAGACAAATCGGGCGATCGATCGATCGATCGATCCGGCCGTCAGTCCAGGAGACCCAGCCAGAGGCTCAACACGCCCATCGCTCCTCGGCCGGGGGTTTGGGGGCCGCCCTGGCGGTGCCCAGGCCTCGCTGTGAGGAGGGACGGGAACCGGGGAGGACGGCCCCGGACCGCGGAGCAGCCGGCACCGGCCTCCGTGGGAACCATCAGCCGCAGCAGACACGTCCGGCGCCGGTCCGGCCCAGGGAAACCTGGCAGGAGGAGAGCGGGCGAGCAGGAGGCCCTGGGCTGGTGCCCGGGCACCGGATCTGCAGGTCCTCTCGGCGTGCGGACGGCGGGGCCGCGGTGCTCTCTCCTCTCGGGCCGTGGACAGAGGCTGGGATCCCGTCCGGGGAGGGGGAAGCCCGGATACGGGGGTGGGACACATGGGCACTTTCTCCTCCGCCTCCAAACGGTCTCCCTGCATCAGCAGCCCCGGCCTCGCAGAGACTAAAGTGACAAACCTCTGAGACAAGTGCGGGTCACGTGGGGCCTCAGCTGTCGAACCCTCTGTGCTGCCCGACATGTGCGCTGGTCCCGCCCCCTCCGGGCATTTAAACCACAGCTGCCACCGGCCCGGCTCCCCGCCACCGGCCCGGCTCTCTGGCTCTCCCGGCCCGGCTCCCCGGCTCTCCCTACCCCAAACACCAGGCCTGAGCCCCCACCTCCCGCCAGCGCCCTCCTCCCGGCCATGGGCACGCTCGTGGCCAAGCTGCTGCTGCCCACCCTCAGCAGCCTGGCCTTCCTGCCCGCCGTCAGCATCGCCGCCAAGAGGCGCTTCCACATGGAGGCCATGGTCTACCTCTTCACCACGTTCTTCGAGGCGGTGAGTCCGGTGGGGCGGGGGGGAGGGGGGGCGCTCCCCCACAGGACACACACGTTCCTCTGTCTCCTGCTGAAGAAGAGTGATTGGAGATGGAAGGGAAGCCCGGGTCCAGGAGAGAGGCTGGGGGATCGCTCCGCCCCCTGGGCCTCGGTTTCCCCAGGGGTGCCAGGAGATCACGCGGGGACTGGTGCGCGTGAGACCAAGCCCCTCGCAGGGAGCCTGACTCCGGACGGGGGAGTGGCCCGCTCAGCGGCCCTCCTTCTCCTTCTGTTTATAGGCTGGGGGCCCCTTCGCTCTGGGGGCCCCCTCCCCCGCCCGTCTCCCCCGCCCCCTCCCCTCGGTGCGGCTCTTCCTGCTTCTCTGTGTCCCGTCTTCCCTCCGCGTCTGCCTCTCCCTCCTCTCTGTGCCTGTCTGTCTGGCCTCCGCGTTTCTGAATGACATCCCCGTACAGCGCGTTCTCCCTGAGCCCCCTGGTGCTCCCCCAGCTCTGTCCCTCGGACTCTCCACACGTCACTCTGATCCATCCCTCCAGCTCCGGTCTGTCTGTCCGTCCGTCTACCTGCCTACGGATCTACCCGGCCAATCAGCCCTCTGTCTGTCCGTGCAGCCACCGACCTCATCAGTCACCCCCTACGCTGTCACCTGTCTGCGTCTCAGCGCCTTCCTGCCTCCCCTGTCTGCTCCCCTCTGAGCCCCTCTCCCCCTCCCCCCCACCCCCCACCCCCGCGCTGGCCTCGCAGGGCGGCTCCTCTCTGCCTTCTGACCATCTGCCTTCAGACCCTCCTCTAGCCCAGCTCCCCGTCTCCCGGGGGCACTGCCTCCCGCCCGGGCCAGCCCGGCCCCTAGCTCAGGCCTCTGTGGGCAAGGCCAGGGGTGCAGGCAGCTGGGTGTGAGGTCCGTGGGCACCGCGTGTGCTGGCAGACTTGTGCCCTGCGCGGGGCCCGCGGCGAGACGAGCTGGCGTGCACCCGCCCGTGCTCCTGGGCAGTGCCGGGCGGGCTGGGGGCCTAGCGGCCCCCTTCTGGGCGGGAGAGGCCTCGGCTACAGGGAGGCCGCGCCAGCGCCCAGGGCGGGGACTCGCCCTGAGTCCCCGGGGCTGAGCCCGAGGTGTGGCGAGCTCGAACCCTCGGGCCGATGCCTTCCCGTTGCTCCTCTCGCGGGCTCGGGTGAGCGCCAGGAAGTCTGTTCGAGCTGAGAAAGGGGGGCGCTGTGGACATGGGCGGTGAGTCCGGGCCGGGCGGGGGGCGCTCCCCCACAGGACACACACAGGGTCTGGGGCCGGGGAGGGGCCCTGTCTTGCTGCCCAGGCCCGTTAGAGCAGCCAGGACACCGCCCCCGCTCCGCGGTGCCCGCCCCACAGCTGCCTCCCCGCCCGGCCCCACCCGGCCGCGCCCGGCCCGCCCAGAATGGCAGGGGCAGCTGCCTCCGGTGACAAATGTCCTCGGCCTCCCAGCCACACTGGCCCTTTCTCTCTCTGAAGGCCCTGGCCCAGCTCTGCTAGGTCTGGAGTGGTTTAAGGAGATGAAACCTCCCTTTGTATACATATATACACACATATATGCATATACATATACATATACATATACATATATACACATATATATGCATATACATATATATATTTATTGATTTCAGAGAGGAAGGAAGAGGGAGAGAGAGATAGAAATATCCATGATGAGAGAGAATCATGGATCGGCTTCATCTCCTTAAACCTCCCCCGGCTCCTCCTGTTCCTTCTGGAACTGCGTCTCCCTCAGCCCCTCGGGACCCTCCCTGACACCGGGCTCCGCACACGGAGTCCGCGGGCCCACCCCGGAGCAGGTGTTCTTGTCCCCATTTGACAGCAGTGGGGGGAGGGGAGCAGCCAGCCGCTGGTCTAAGCTCCAGAGGCAAGGCCCTGTTAGCGTGGCCCCAAAGATGGCTCTCTGACACCAGCCCCCAGCCGCACCCACCCCTGCCAGCCCCTCGCTGGGCCAGGCCTGCCCCTGCACCCAAAGATGAAGGGAGGCCCTGGCCAGTGTGGCTCAGTGGATAGAGCGTCGGCCTGCGGACTGAAAGGTCCCAGGTTCGATTCTAGTCAAGGGCACAGGCCCGGGTTGTGGGCTCGATCCCCAGTGGGGGACGTGCAGGAGGCAGCCGATCCATGATTCTCTCTCATCATGGATATTTCTATCTCTCTCTCCCTCTTCCTTCCTCTCTGAAATCAATAAATATATATATGTATATGCATATATATGTGTATATATGTATATGTATATGTATATGTATATGCATATATGTGTGTATATATGTATACAAAGGGAGGTTTCATCTCCTTAAACCACTCCAGACCCTGCCCCCAGGCCCTGCCCCCCTGGCCCTCCTCTGTGACCCTCATCCCTACCCCTGCTCCCTGGCCTGCCTTCACAGGGCAGACGCTAACTGAGCACCAAAGGAGGGGGCTGGGGTCAGGGCCAGGACGAGACAGAGAGGAATCCTGCTCCTGACGGGGCCGGCACAGACCTGCCCAGAATGTCAGAGGATTAAGTCTGGAACGGCCCACGGTGACCTGCGCCTCAGAGGAGGGGCCGGGCTGGGCTGAAGGAGACGCAGCTCTAGAAGGAACAGGGGCCGGAGAACGTCCATGTCCCTCACAGGGCCCGGCTCTGCCTACAGAGGCATGGGGAGCCGTGTCCCCCGCCGTCCTCGGCCCCACGGGGAGGGGGCACTTGGATCAGACTGCACCTGAACTCCTCTCCCCACCACACAGTCATGGCCGCCGCTGCTCACTGTCCTCTGGCCTCTTCTGGGTGCACATCCAGAGCTCAGCACGGAGCGGACCTGAGCCGGGCAGAGCCGCAGGGGTCTGGCCTGCTGGGGGGCACCAGGCCGCTGGTAACAGCCCCCTCGGGGCGCCGGAATGGTGGGTCACCAACAGCTGCCACCAGCAAGGGCTCGGAATCGGCCCCGGTTTGCTCCCCTCGCCAGGGGACCCGGGCTCCCGCCCCGGAGCCGCCCCGGAGCCGCCCCGGCGCCTCTGGACGCAGCTCCCTGTCCACCTCCGCCCTCCCGCCGCGCCGGCCCATCACCAGCCCAGTGTGCCGCCCAGCTTGTTTAGCCGTGGGACGCGTCAAAATAATTATGTCACAGGATGAAATATGACTTACACGGCGACGTGTGCGCCCGAAAGGAGTTGTTTTCTGTTAGAAACAAGGTGGAGGCTTTGAAATATCCCATCAGGCACTTGCTCTAAAAATTGCTCTTAAGCCAGATACTGGGGGACAGCGTGAGACCCCCGGGCTCAGCGCGGGCGCGGGGTCTCTGCGGCTCCCGCACTTCACAGCTTCCTGACAGCGCCATGCTGACACAGCTGCTCATGCGTGGTTCTCCCAGCCATGACATTATCTCCGTGACTGCCTCCTAACTGTGACTTTGCTACTGTTAACGAATCATAGTGTGAACGTCTGTGTTTCCCGATGGTGTTAGGTGACCCTGCTGGCGGTGCTCAGCCTGTGGGTCAAGGCAGGGTCGCCTGAGACCATCGGGAAACACAGACGTTTACATTATGGTTCACAACGGCAGCAAAACTACAGTGAGGAAGTAGCAACGACAATACTGTTGCGGCTGGGGGTCACCACACAAGAGGAGCCGTATTAGAGGGCCGTGGCGTCAGGAAGGTTGGGAACCAGGAACAGGAGCTGACAGCTGCAGACCGGTAGTTCTCAAAGTGGGTTCCCCACCGGCAGCATCAGCACCAGCCTGAACCTCGGCAAAATAAAATGCACCTGTCACTGAAACCGGTTTGGCTCAGTGGATAGAGCGTCGGCCTGCGGAGTGAAAGGTCCCGGGTTCGATTCCGGTCAAAGGCATGTACCTTGGTTGCGGGCACATCCCAGTGGAGGATGTGCAGGAGGCAGCTGATTGATGATTCTCTCTCATCGATGTATCTAACTTTCTATTCCTCTCTGTAAAAAATCAATAAAATATATATTTTTTAAAACGCACCTGGGCCGGACCCACACCTGCGGAGTCGGGAACCCTCATGACGCCGAGCCGCCGAGCGAGTCTCCACAGGCCCCGGGGTCTGGATGCCCCTCGGGTCTGAGAAATCCCCTGTGGGGGAGCCCAGGCAGCAGGGGTAACTTGTGGGGAGAGAGCCCACCCCCCCAAGCTCCTGAAGAGTAGACTGGCACCCCCAAAAAGGCACTGGCCTCATGCCCAGAGGGCGCCAGGACCGGCCCTCGGGAGCCTGGGGAGAGGGGACCTCCGTTCGCTCCGCCTGAGGGGCACCCGTCCGGGGCACAGAGCCCTGGGGCCCCGTCTCACAGGGGAGCCATTGTGGCTTTCCCGGGACCCACAGCCAGGGGGCGCTGCTTCGCCACGGGCCTGGCTTGGCAGGACGGGCTTGGGGACCCCCGGGCCCTGCCCTGACGGCCGGGTCTCCCCAGCTCCACCACGCCTGCCAGGGGCCCGGCCTGTCCATCCTCTGCTTCATGCGGCTGGACCTCCTGGAGCACTTCAGCGTCTACGGGACGGCGCTCAGCATGTGGGTGTCGCTGATGGGTGAGTGGTCGGCCGGCTCCCTCCGCCCACCCCCGCCCTCTCCTGGGTTCCAGCCCCGCTCCCGCTTCCATGTCCTTTTAAAGGGACACGCTGGCCGAGGGCGGGCCCTGCCGGCCCTGCCTGGCCGAGGGGGCAGCCGGGGGCCCCACCTCCGCGTCCTTGGCCCGAGAACCCCTGCTCCGGCCAGGCTCTGCCCCCAAGACCCGCCTCACCCCACAGTGCCGGCGGGGTGTGTGGGCAGAGGGACTCGTTCCAGAGCGCGCTGTGCGGGCCTCTCGGTCTCTCAGACGGCGTCCGGCCGGCCCGGCCCCAGGTCCCCGGCTCCCTGTCCTCCTGGGTCCCGGCAACGGCCGGAGCCAGACCCTGGGTGACCAGGCGGGCCCAGGGTCTCCCTGGTGGAGGGAGCACCCCCACCCCGGCCCCCAGGGCCGCCCCAGGGAGAGCGGTGGCCAGGAGGGCCGGGGGCCACCCCGCTCTTCCTCCCGCTCTCTCCCGGCCCCTCCAGCCCTGGCCGACTTCGACGAGCCCAAGCGGTCAACGTTGGTGATGTTCGGGGTCCTGACCATCGCCGTCCGCATCTACCAGGACCGCGGGGGCTACGGTGTGTACTCCGGCCCCATCGGCACCGCCGTCCTCATCATCGCGGTGAAGTGGGTGCGTACCTTCCCTGGCTGTCCCCACTCCCCTCCCCCCAGGCGGGCGGGCCGGACACGGCTTTGGCTAAAACACGTAGAAAATGCCCCTTCCCCCACCACCCCCCGGTGCCCCAGCCACGCAGACCCGGCTTGTCTCATGTCTGTGACCCACTAGCTCCGGACCTAAGCCAAGTTACAGAGCCTCTCTGCCTCAGTTTCCCTATCTGTCAAGGGGGCATTAGAGCAACAGCCCAGGGCCCACCTCCTAGGCTGGCTCAGAGATGGCACACAGCTGGCTTCGGATGGGCTCAGGCACCGGGGACTGCTAGTTTTTGTTCCTGATGAGAGTAGCTGCTTGGAGATGCCGTCTCAGTGGAGGACAAGGCGTGGGTGAATCTGGGCAGGCTTCCTGGAGGAGGCGGGCCTTCCGCTTGGTTCTAATGCGAAGGGAGGATGTGGGCGAGGTTGACAGGAAGATGGGATTGCTCGTGCGTTCACAGGCGATGGCCTTTCACGGGGCACCGGAGGTCTGATCCCCATGAGGCCCTTTTCCCTGGGCCCTCCGTGGTCCCAGGCCCCCCGCCTGCCGGAACCGAAACGTGCCCCCCTGGCCCACGCTGACGAGGGCCCTGCAGCGGGAAGGACCCGCATGGGGTCCTGGGTCCCCGGGGCAGGGAAGGGCTGAGCCCTGCGGGGAGCCGCGCCCAGGCCTGGCATTCGGTGGCGGCACTCGGGGGACGGGGCGGGGCTGGGCAGGGGGTGCAGACGGAGCCCACAACCCATTTCACAGACTCAGGAAGGTAAACCGAGGCCTGGGGGCCTGCTCTGCAAACACCTGCTCCTCTCCCCCCGCGGGCATAGAGCTCTGCTCGGCCGTTTGGGTCCCGGAAAAATAAGGCGCCGAGAGCCCAGCCGGTGAGCGTGCTCCGCAGGGTAGCCGGGCCAGGCCTCGCCTTCCCCGCTCCGCGCCGGGAGCATCCCCGAAGCTGCCCGCGGGCCAGAGGAGGTGCTGGGTCCGACGCGTCCGCGGAGGAAGGAGCCCTCGGGACCTCGGAGCCGCCGGGATGCGGCACCACCGGCTCCGCAGGAAGCGGGGGCTCCGTGCTCCGGGCGTGGTCCTCCCACCGCCCCCGTGGGAGGGGGCTGCGGCTCACCGGCCCGAAGCCGTCCCCGCCCCCGTCTGAGGGCCCGGGCCGCCCCGGGGGGCTCGGCGTGTTTTCAGGCCGTTTCCCGCGGTGTGCACCGAGGACGGGCAAGGCCGGCGTTTCCGGAAGGAGGGGCAGTTTTCTCCCACGCTCAGCCTCCTTTCTTTTCTTTCTTTTTTTTTTTTCTTTTCTTTTTCTTTAAATTGATTTTTGAGAGAGAGAAGAAAGGAGAGAGATAGAAGTGATAGAAACATCAATGACGAGAGAGGGGCATCATGGACCGGCTGCCTCCTGCCCGCCCCTGCCTGGGGATTGGGCCCGAGCCTGGGCCTGGGCCTGACCGGGAATCGAACTCTGACCTCCTGGTTCCTGGGTCAACACCTCCCCATGAGCCCCGGCGCCGGGCTGCCCCTCCCTCCGGGAGCGGGTTTGGGAGCAGCAGCCGGGGAGAGGGATTGGGGAGAGGGTGTGACCGGGACTGGGACTGGGCTGGGCAGGCGGGGCCCAGGCAGGGGCAGGGCTGGCTGATGAGGGCTCTGGGGCCTCGGGCCCTCACCCAGGGCCACGGTAGCTGCACCCACGTGCTGCCCACGCTGTGCAGGTCCCAATTCCTCACAGTTTGTGGAAAATTCTGGAAAACGGGACACTGGGCTTCGTTTCACCAAACTGGACTGGAACCCTCGGTGGCAAGACCCGCCCTGAGCCAGTGCCACGTGGCTGATGGGCCTGGTGCTGCCTGGCGGGGTCTGTGCTGTGGGTGCTGCCTGGTGGGCTCTGTGCTGTGGGTGCTGCCTGGTGGGCTCTGTGCTGTGGGTGCTGCCTGGCGGGGTCTGTGCTGTGGGGTGCTGCCTGGCCCCGGGGTGCGGTGAGGGGTGCAGCCACCGTCTCCCTCTGTCCAGGATGTCCGTGCTCAGAGCACCGGCCCAGGGCGGGTTCCCGGGTTCAGGCTCACATTGTCTCAACGTTTGGGGTGTGAACCCCTCTTTTTCCATGAAAACGCCTGCGGGCTCCTCCGGGCACGGCCCCAGGAAGGCGCAGGTTTGACAGACAGGACTGCGTGTCCGCTGACTGAGGCTGCCATGGCCACAGGCCCCGGAGCCACACGGCGGGCGGGCCCAGAGCTTCGGTCCCCCGTCTCTCCCTCTCCCCCCCCTCCCCACCGGCTGTGAACAGCTGGGTGTCTGTCCCCTCAGGGCGCCCGCCGGCTGGGTCAGGGAGCCATCAGGGCTGGGTGCAGCTCGGACAGGCAGGAGGGGTGGCAGGCAGGGGCGGGAGGCCACACGGCCCCGGGCTCCCGGCCTGTCCCTGGCTGTGGGTCCTGTGGGTCCCGCAGCTGCTGAGCGGGACACACGCCCCTGCCGGAGGGCGACGGGGTGCGAGCGCCCGGGCTCCAGGCGGCCGTGCGGGCGGCCCCGCCCCTGAGCTGCGCCTGTGCCTGCAGCTGCGGCAGATGAAGGAGAAGAGGGGGCTGTACCCCGACAGGAGCGTCTACGCCCAGCAGGTGGGCCCCGGGCTCTGCTTCGGGGCCCTGGCCCTGATGCTGCGCTTCTTCTTCGAGGTACGGGGGCGGGGGGGCGCTTCACGGGACCCCCTCAGGCAGTGCCCGGGCCTCCCACACCCTGGCACCGCGGGCACCGTGCAGAGCTGGCTCCGAGATGCACGGAGGCGGCCTGGGGGGGGGGGGCGCGGGGGGGAGCCTCAGTGCAAGGCCAAAGGCCCAGGAGGCCTCACGGCTCAGACTCCGTGCTCTGGGGTTTGGTGGTGGGAGAGACGGGCCTGGGCTGGCAGTGAGGGGAGGACAGTGAGCAGAGTCCGGGGACACGTGAGGGATCGGGGCGGGGAGGGGAGCCTATGTCAGCTGGGCACACAGTAGGGGCGCAGAGCAGCGGGGAGGGGCCTGGTGAGGAGGGAGCTCGGGCACAGGGGCAGAGGGCTGAGGGGGCACAGGGGGCATGGGGGGCTCAGGGGGAAGGGGGGCACAGGGCTGAGGGGGCACAGGAGGCACAGGGGGCATGGGGGGCACAGGGGGCACGGGGGGCACAGGGCTGAGGGAGCACAGGGGGCACGGGGGGCACAGGGCTGAGGGAGCACAGGGGGCATAGGGGGCACAGGGCTGAGGGGGCACAGGGGGCATGGGGGGCACAGGGGGCATGGGGGGCACAGGGCCGAGGGGGCATGGGGGTACAGGGGCACAGGGCTGAGGCACACACTGACCCCCCCCCAGGACTGGGACTACACCTACGTGCACAGCTTCTACCACTGCGCGCTGGCCATGTCCTTCACCCTGCTGCTGCCCAAGCTCAACAAGAAGGCGGGGAGCCCGGGGCCGCCCGCCAAGCTGGACTGCTCCACGCTGTGCTGCGCCTGCATCTGACCTCGGCCTCCGCCCTGGCTCCCAGCCCCCGCCCGGCCTCCCGCCTGGCGCCTCCTGCTGTCCCTCCCAGCCCAAGGGTCCAGGAGCGACTCTGTCCTCAGGTTCGAGGGCCCCAGAAACTGGGGAGCCTCTGTGCCAAGCGCCTCCAGAGAACCCACTTCCTGAGTTCCTGCTGGGGCGGCCTCAGGGCCCATCGGGATCATGCGATCACGCCTGCAGCGCCCGGGGCGTGTGTCCTCCCACCGCCCTTCCCGCTCACCGATTGCGGGCCCCGCCCCACCCCACACCCTGCTCCTTGTCCCCTGGCCCGGGCAGGCCCACCTCGGAGGCCGGGGCCTGGGGGGCCAGCCCCCCCAGTGGGGTCTCCTATCAAGTTGTTCTGATGACAATCACCAATAACAAGCACCTCCGTGTGTTGATCTCTGGGAGCCCACGTGCGTGCCCGTGTCTGTCCCCAGGCCCGCGCCCGGCCTCTGCCCGGCTCCCCGTGGGCGGGCGGGCCTGTGGGGACCGGGCAGAGCCGGCGGTCGGCCCGCCCAGGGAGCCCGTCTGGCGGCCCCGGGGGGTGGCGGGAGCCGGCCTCCCAGACATCACCTCACAAACCGAGCCCCCGCAGCCAGCCCACCGCCCGGCGGCACATGTGTCAGCAGGAAGTTACCTACCCTGGCCGCCTGTTTGTGTTTCCAGAGCAGCGGGCGACAGTCGTGTCCAAAGCCACCTCTGCGCGCCTGCGGGGCCGAGGCTGGCTCCTCGCCCCGGGCCTGCGGGCAGGGGGGACCCGGGGCCAGGCCCCGTCTGCCGGCCTCCTGGCTGCCCAGAGGCCCTGCACACCCACGCCGGGCCCCACTCAGCACCTGTCTGTCCCCGCGGCCCGTTAGGTCTGGGCGCCCCTCCGCTCTGCACACGGCGCTGGGCGCCATCCACCCGGGGGTCCCCATCCCCGGGAGAAGGCCCGGGACACAGCAGGGGCCCTCAGGTCTGATTGGGGGGTGCATACACATGTGCATGTGCATACACACATATGTACACATGCATGCACACACGGACATGCACACACCATGAAGAGCCTTCCCGGTGACACTCACAAGTCACCACACCAGACTATAAGGCAAGGGGAGGCTCTGGGCCATTGGGGAGGGGGGAGCCAGGGGATGAGGCTCCAGAAACAGGCATCTGCAAGGCAGCGGGACCCTGCCCGTCCGTCCCCCCCCCCCCCCGGGCCTCCCCGCTCCCGCCCCCGCCCCACCCCGAGCATGCCCAGCTCCGCCCGCGGCAGCACATGGAAAGTTGGAGCGGCGGTGCTCCCCGCAGGAGAGGAGCTGCCAAGCCGGCTGCACCAACGGCGCTCACTGTGGCCGCTGATTTATGAGGCCGTCTGGGCGCCGGCCAGGTCTGTAAGTCAGGACAATTAGGAGCGCACTCTCCGCCGCCCACCGACCGCCTCTCCCGCAGGGCTGGCCCCCGGGGGCCCCTGGGCCGGGGTCCTGAGCCCACTCTGCAGGCGGGGACACCGCGGCCGGCGTGGCGGCCGCTGGCCTGGGCCTTGGCCGCTGGCCATGGAGCGGCCGGACGTGCCAGGGTCTTGCCAGTCATCCCAAAGGCACGCTCCTCTGGCTCCCCGCTCCAGGCTGACAGCGCGGGGCTCTGCCCGGGCCAGCAGGGGAGGCCGGGGAGGAGGGGGCCCGGAAAGGGGGGCCACCCAGAATGGCCACCCCGATACCTCAACCCGCACCAGAAGGACATGTCGGGCCTCCAGATGGAAACGCCCCCGTGCCATCCCCTGGGGTCTTCCCGTCCAGGACCGAGGGCACATGGCACCTGGCGCCGAGAGGGACCTCCGCAGCCATCCGCCCCCTCCCGCTCCGGAGAGCGCCCTCCTCCACCGTCCCGATGGGGCCTGGGGGCCCCGAGACCAGAGGTTGGGGCCAGAGAGTGCCTGAGCCGGCCCTCGGCCTGCCCGGCCCGAGCAGCGCCTGCAAGCGCTGGCTCTGACGGGGAGACGTGGGGGCTCAGGTCCAGGACAGCCCCCTGCAGGCCCCGGGGCAGCGGAGCTTGGCAGGTGCCACGGAGCAGCCGAATCTTCACACGTGTGCTGCTTCCAATGAGATTAGATTTAAACTCACACGCGTGTGGGTTGCAGGTGACATATAAGATGTGTGTGCTGGGGGGTGTTTTTCAAATATGTCTTAAAATTTATTTCGGAGGGGAAGGGAGACAGGAAGAGAGAGAAGAACATCCATCATGAGAGAGACTCCTCGAGGGGCTGCCTCCTGCACGTTCCCCACTGGGGATGGAGCCATAAGCTGGGCCTGTGCCCTTGGCCGGAATAGAACGCGGGGCCCGTCAGTCCGCAGGCTGGCGCTCTGACCACTGAGCCACACCAGCGAGGCTGATGCGTGGTTGTTTTGAACTTCAGATGATGACCAGGGCGCCCTGGTGTGAGACACCATGGCACAGTGCCTGCGGGCACCCGAAAGGCAGTGGCACCCCCTCCTGTGTTCCGCCGGGCTGCCCTCCCCGGTGCCGGCAGACAGAGGCCACGGCTGCAGACACACACGGAGGGGCACGTGGTCAGGGACCCAGGCCGAGGCCCCAGGGCCCGCGCTGGCTGTGGCCTCCCAGCTGGACACCGTCAGCATGTGGGGGGCAGGGCAGTATCCTCACCCCAGGGATCCTGTCTGACCCGGGGGAGGGGGCACCCAGGCCCTGCAATAGCGCCCCCGGGCCTGGGCCTGGGCCCAGCTGGGACCCTGCAGAGCCGCGCGGGCTGCCGGTGCCTGGCCTGGCCGCCAGTGCCGGTGCCCAGCGGCCCTCCCGCCCCTGCGGCAGCCCGCGCGGCGAAGGAGTATAAACATTCACAACGAGGAGACAAAACAGCCCATTGTAGCGCCCCCTCCGCCTCCCGGCAGCGGGCGAGGCTGGCAGGGGCGGGAGCCTGGGCCCCCGCCAGGATCCTCCGATTGCAGCCGAGGTGTTTCCGTCTGAGGCCGTCTGCGCCGCGGCCTTTGTCTGTCTGCTACCGACATTTCCTGTCTCTGCTGCTCTCCTCCGCGGCCACTGAAACCCAACACGTTTATTGCCCTCTAACGAGGCTCGCAGCCCGCGCCTCCTGCCCGCGGCAGTTAGGGGGCCGGGCGGGCGGGGCGCAGCCGCCGGGGCTTGGCCCGGGAGCCGGGAGCGCGGGGCCAGGTATGTGGGCAGCACGGTCCAGCCCAGTGGGCAGGGGCCCCGGGAAGACTCCGGATACCGGGCGCTGGGCAGCTGGTGAACAAAGCTGGCCGGGCCAGGCGGCCGCAGGACGGGCCGTCTGCCACGGGGGCCCTGCCCGCCGCCCTGCACCGCCCCGGGGCCGCACCCGCACCCCGGTGTCCTCACCCCTGACTGGGAACAGCAGCCCAGCCCCACTGGTCACTCAGGCGTCGGGGGAGGTGAACCAGAGGCCGGCCACACCGGCCAGCTCTTGGGGCAGTAAGAAAGGCAGGAAAGGGAGCGGGAGGCCGGGCCGGGCGTGGAGGGCCGGTGTCCAGGTGCAGGCGCGGGCCTGGGGGCCAGGCAGGTGGGGGGCTCCGTTGTTCCTTCAGGGCCAGAGGCAAGCTCCCCAAACCCCCCAGTTCCTTCAGCCTCAGTTTCCCCATTTGCAACAAGCCCCCCTCACATGCTTGCTGCCAAGATTAAATGAGGTAACGAAATAGGAAGCACTTAGCAAGCACCACACACGCCAATGTCATGTCCAGTGGGGCCGGGAGACGCCTGGTACCCCGCCCGTTGCCATCAGAACGCCCAGCGCCTGGCTGGGGCGTCCGGGTCTGCACCGCACTCCCCGCACACTCCCCACGCTCAGGAGACGTGTGCGTCCGCGAACGCATGGGGCCTCGGCGGAGGCAGGCTCACGGCTGCTGAGAGAGCCCACTGGCTGGTCAGTGGCCTCAGAGGCCTGAGCCTTGACCTCTTGCTGACCCGCCCCCCAGGAGCAGGATGGGGGGCCAGGCAACCCTGGGCGACCTTCCGCTCCCAGCACCCCTGGAAGTGGGATCTCTGCTCACCCCCCTGGGACCACCCAGCGAGACAGGGGAGGGGACAGTGTGCCTGGAACCAGGGGCCAGCCAGACTGGGGAGGCAGATGCTGGTGGGAGGAAAGGGTTCATTCTGGTGCCGATCGCCTGAGAAGACGGGGGGTCCCGGTGCAGAGGCCCTCCCAGCACCTCGCTGCAGGCCGAGGTTTTCAAAGGAGGGAGAGGGAAGCAGAGAGAGGAAATCAGGGAGGCGGGTGGGCAGTCCTCCACAGGCCGGCCAGCACTGTCCATGCTGACAGGGATCTGGAAACTGCTCACGTGATGGTCCGTGTGCGTCACCGCGGGCTTCTCCATCCGGGCCTTCGTCACCTGGGTTAGGTGGAAGATAGGCAGATCTCCAGGACTGAAGGTCGGAGTGGTTCCTAGGATTCTTACACAAACACCAGACGCCCGGTATGCGGATTCGTGTACCAGTGGGGTCCCTCGGCTTGGCCTGCGGGATCAGGCCGAAACCGGCTCTCTGACATCCCCCATTGCGAGGGGGCACAGGCCAGGCCGAGGGACCTCACCGGTGCATGATCCGGGCCAGGGAGAGACATGGGAGGGACTGAAGGAGGGCTCCAGGGCGTGTCTGGCCCGTCTCAGCCAGACCCCAACAGCAAGCCAACCTACCAGTTGGAGCATGTGCCCCCTGGTGGTCAGCGCACATTGTAGCGAGCAGCTGAGTGGCCCTAGCATAGCATTAGCATATTAGACTGATTGGTTTGGGGGCGGCGTGCCTGAGACAGCTGATCCATGGTTCTTCTCATCATTGGTGTTTCTCTCTCTCTCTCTCTCCCTCCCTCTCTCTCTCCCCCTCTCTCTCTGAAATCAATAAAAGTTTTTTTTTTTTTTAATAGAAAGGGGGGTGGGTTACAATTCCTGCTGCTACAATATTCCCTCACTCCGGCCCCGGCAGGCACTTTGCTGGCCCAGCGAGGCTGCAGGCGACCAGACCCTCCATCGCACGAGCAAACCAGCCGTATTGTCGGCTGCTGTCTCCTCCGGCCGGCGGAGACAGGGATTCCGCATCCCCCACGTGCGCCGCGGAGACGGCTCCCTCAGCCCCTGGGGAGCCCCGTTAGCTGAGGCCCCGGCCGGGAGGCAGCCGGCAGACAGCTGTGAGCACCCACGTTCAGGGCCCGGCTGGCCGGAGGCCACGGGGAGGGGAGAGGCGAGGCGCGCAGGAGCTGCGTGTCCGGCCGCCTCGCTTTCTTCTCTCCCTTCTGAGAACGTGGGCCCCTCGAGCCCCCGCAGTGGTGTTTTCCCGGCAGCTCGGCGGGCGGAAGGCCCCAGGCGCGGCCCCGGGGCCAAGCTATCGGAGCCGTGGCCGCCGCTGGAGGGAGTTTGGCAGCGGCCCCTCCCCG